ACAGTGGAAGGAGATGAGAACTAATGGTAGAGAGGAGCCACGACGCCAACGCACTGTCCTGTGCTACAAAATCCTCAAAGGCCTCATTGACACTTACTTTGCCGTTAGCATCAAGAACCATTTCCGGTGGTGGCATCAATGCACCAGTCAATAAACGCTCCAGGCGATGGCTACGGACAGTAAGCAGAATTTGCTACTTCCAGAGCAGAAAATTCATCTCGTCGAGGACTACATTAACCTTCTTGTGCGAGAAACCCTTGGAGAACTCCATGACAGGCGAGCAACAACGGAAGCTTAGGCAAGAAACCCAAGATCGACGGCGAAAGATACCATCTTAAGAAACTACTGTAACACGTGAAAAACAAAGAATACTGCTGAAAAATGATCTACATTTTCACATGAACCTCTACATTATTTATACATTGTGAAGTCGGTTAGTTAGCCTAACAACCTAGCTAACAACCTGGCAACAACTAACCGTATCACGTGCACATGCTGAATAGGATATCAAAATACAAAATATAGTCTAATAGATCCATAATTTTTTTAAGGGGAACACATATGTATTAATAACATAAATATATTGTATGAGACAAGTACAAGTAAAATTCTAGAGTGAACACAATCAATAAAATAAATAGTTAATTAAAAATTGGATTTTAAAATGATTACATACCCTCTTTAAACTAAAGATGGATCCACTATTGAGCACATATTCATATTAAGATAACAATGATATAAAATCACCCTTTTACAATCGTATTTTAGACTTCGTAGTGATGAGAGATAACGGAATGGGAATAAAAATAAAAGCAAAGGTGGAGCCAATGGCATGACTGAGATCAGCTGAGGTTGGGGAGATGAAGTGGAAATAATAACAATGAATAGCATATATATAGTTATAATCATTCACTTTCAAAGGCATAAATAGCAACATTTATGACCATTAAAAGTATTAAATTGTATAATCAATCTAATAATTTAGGTAAAACTCATCTTTTTGGGTATCTGAAAAATTATTTGTTGAGATAAAATGTTTGTTACAGTATCCGTAGGAAGATACGTTAATTTTCTAACATCATTGAGAATACGCCTAAAAGACACGATGTCTTCCTCAAATTACATGTAACCGAAACGCCAAGCACCGGTTTAGATATGCTAAAACAAGACCATAAATGAATATATTAGCCTTGTATATCCTATGTGGCTTACTTCTTAAAGAAAGGGTTTCAATTAAAATTTAGCCCAACCAAGGGAGCAATCCATAGTACCTCAAAGAGGTTCAGCTTGAATGACTGGTCCAGATTAACTCATTTAAAAGCATCGTACCCTAAACTTCCGGTTGTGCGAGCAAGAAAACATCGAGGCTAACTTTGCAGCTATGGTACGGAAATGAAAATGGCACCACATGATTGAGTTTCATCCGTTCTTTTCCTACAAATCATAATGTTTAAATTCGATTTTTTATTAAAATAGTATCATAAAAAGTTATTTATTAAATTAATATCTAAATCTAATTAATTATTAAAATATCACTCATTACTGTCATGTAAGATAAAATACATCTAATCAATCATATTTATTAAAAACAGATATGACCAAACACACTTTCATCTTACGTGATAGTTCTGATGATAATGATTCGTTAGATTAGGAAAACGTAACTAATATGTCATGACTTCCCTAAATTTTTAATATGTTCGAAACTGTGTTCATTAAAAGTGTTTTCATGAATTTTCATATTTTTTATTTGTAATATTTTTCTCATAATTTTATTTTATTTTTTTTAGACTTTATGCTTTTCTCGATTTTGCATTGGTTTTTCACTTTGTATTTACTTTTCAAATAGTAGGATGATAAATAGTTTAAATAATTATGTTATTTGAATGAAACTTAAATTAATAATATATACTATTTGTATTGGCATATACAATAAATATTAAAAAAATCATATCACTAATGGCATATACGTTAACGAGTTTTGAAGTGCAACACACATCAATTATACGTCAGATTTTTTTTCGTATTAGTCATTCTTCGACAAGATCATCATCGTCATTTTGACCAACATTGTTGATGCATTAAGCATTATGTACTGATCAAGCAAATTCGTCTATTGACACATCAAGTCGTACAATGATGGATGACATGTGAATAATAATGACGACAAAAGTGTCTGATTAACAATCTTACCGATAAATGAGGCCAATGAAAATTCAGAGGATGACATCGATGCATATGAAATTGTTGTTTATGCTGACTATAGTGATACTAATGAAAGAGCAATAGGAAACAACATCAATGCATATGGTGAAATAAAATATGATGAATATTGAATACACATGTTAAATGTCGATGGCATTGATAGTGTAGGTTATAATAGTTTGAATGGTATCGATGATAACGAGAGTTCACTCTTTCTTGATTAGTGACCACTAACTATATGTACTTTTAACAGCGACGACAAAATTCGTGTATCCATTATCCGAAAGTATATATCAGACTTATGTTTATTATCCTTGATATGATGACATACATGTCCATCATTATGTTTATTATCCTTGATATGATGACATACATGTCCATCATTATGTTTATTGATAAAGCTGCTAAACATGCCATATGGATACTATAATAAGTGGATTTACCATTCAAAGTAATGTTATGCTTATGACTACCTCATTAAGTTATAAAAGTTTACTTTGTGTGCTTTAATATTTTTAGGACACCACTCTACATAGAAGATCGAGATTGTATTTTAGAGGTTGCAAATCATTTGTTTTTTTATCAATGTAATTCCTTACTAAAAACTCCTAGAATAGTGACTATCTAAATCTATTGATAATTTGGTGTTATGCTATTTTGATGAGTGTTCGTGTTGCTAGTTGGTATAATGATCTTATTGTTATAATATCGGAATGATTATCAACAAACAAATAAACACGATTGAAAAAGAAAACAAAGAACACTAAGATTTACGTGAAAAATCCAAAAGGAAAAAACTACAGGCAGAAGAGAAGAATTCCACTGATATGAAGAAGAAAATACAAGAGGGTTTGTATAATAAAAACTACACCCCTAGTTACTACTCCAGTGATATCGAAATTAATTGACCAAATATAGATACTTGTATAATAAAAATGAACCCAAATCATGTTAAATCAATTAAATTGACCCCTGAATGTATGATTGAAACTTTAATGATCACTTAGATCATAAATTCATAATTTTATTAAGTTAAATATTTAATGATTTGAATTAAATTAAAATATAAAATGATTTTGATAAATCATATAACATCGTCGATATGATTCTCAAATAAACAGGATTAAGGGTGTTCCAAATTTGATTCTATCAACGTTAGGAAAGTCACTGGAAGGTTAGCAAGTAACAAGCAAACATGTCTTCTGCTATGTCGGACCACTTCTGTCTGCAGGTAGATCATTGATGCATAACTTCGAAATGTCCGGCTTATCCATGGCACGAGAAATTGCAATCAAGTGTCGCATGCATTTGCCGTTTGGATTGAAGATTATTTCCATCTTATTCGGCGGCATTTTACCAAAAGAAAAAAAAAAGTAATTATTTATAAATTTGATATTTTTAATCAATTATTTACGAAAATGCTACTTTTATGTTGATCCGACTTGTTAGTAGGTGAAATGTACATTAACATGAGTTTTTTCCCTGGGTGGGGGGGGGGGGAGAAGGAATGGAACGAAAGTGATATTATGCTTAATATGTTACCAGATCATTCATTGTACGAGGATTCAAAAGGTTATCACACATCAGGTAAGATGTATGGTTGTATGGATATAAGAGAAAAATATAAATATCATAAATGATATAGATATCGTCGAAATTTTAAATCGTGTCATATCAATAAAAGTGTCTAATCAGTCATGTCACGTTAATAAAATTAAATTCAATCTATAATATCTTTCATGTATTTCATTTAAAGAGTATTATTATATAAATAATTAAAGATAGTAATTAATTTTAAAAAATGATTATTTTAGTTAAAGAATACCATCAAATTAAATCTAACAAAAAATTGAGAGAGAAATTGTTCTGAAAATAATTGAGGGCCAGATTACAAATTAAAACCAAAGTTAAGAACAGAAAAATTACATCAATCTAAAGAAAAATATAATCAGTCATAATATATGTATATATATAGCTTTGTCTGAAATATATTATTTTCGACCCTATTTTTCACCCAATATTCACAAAATCAACATCAGTCCGATCTGAAGCTAACAAAAAACCAACCAATATTTATTCTTTATTTCTCACACTTCAACACTATTTTAATTCAGCACCCACGCTAAGGTCCTTTGTTTTGATTCAATAAATAAATAAAAAAGACTGCACCACCCATTTGCATGTCATTAAATTATTTAATCATCCAATTATTCTCATAATTTTATTTTAATCATTTAACTTATTTTTAAAATTATTTCTAACCTTAAGTTTTGATTTTGTTCTAATCACCTGTAGCTAAAAAAATAGAATCACTAACATGATAAAAAAAATTAACGATGATATAACATTACTTTATGGTGACACATGAACATTAAATTTTAACAACAGAAACATAATATTAGGCATAATTTAAATAAAAATAGTTGAGTGACCAAAACAAAACCACAAAAAAATTAGATGACTAATTACATAGTTAACCCAATATATAACATAATTAAGAGCTTTAGTGGGGACATAGGAACAAATTAAAGTGACAGCATCCTCAAAAAGATCCACATCATATTGTATATCACTATTCTTATGTACGGAAAGGGAAAAATTTCAGGTAAATTGAGTATAAGAACATTAAACAAATAAACAAAGAAACCGACAGTTGCATGATTCAAATGCCACCAAATCTAAAATCTCCAACTCCATGCCTTGTTTTCTTATGTTCTTTGTGTGAACAGAGTCTTCTGACAAATCCAAAAACAATGGATCCTATATTGTCTTCTACCCTAAAGCCATGGATCCAAGTTGACTATCTCTTACAACTTTACAGATTGGGTGTTCTTGTGTTTGATTCGATTTTGATCATCATTTCAGGGCCGTTGGATTGGGGGACTAAGATGACTCCAGGATCGTAGGTGCTGGGGCATCACTGATGTTTTGCCTATGGTTGTGATCCCCTTCATACGTTACAATCAGCATCTTCGGATCGTCTAACGATCGTTCCACGTGTTTCCTCGCAGGGCAACCTCTGACGCTGCTACACTTATAATATCCCCTGCAAAAAGAAACTAGTTAGGGGAAACTCAGGGACCGAGTTAATTTGACTCAAAATCACCATGATATAACAACTCACCTTGGATGAGGAGAACCCTTGATTGGTTTCTGCCCATATTTTCTCCAGGAATAATCATCAGGAGGAATATCAGCCGTCTTATTGCTGATTGCTGGAACTCTAATCACTTTCTTCACTCTTGATTTCCTGCATTAGGAAAAAAAGTCGATAAAAAGGATGAAACTTTTAAGATCAAAAGAAGAAAATCCAACCTCTTCTTGGAGCAATGGCAACGACCAGATGATGATCCACACTTGAGAGCAGCAGCATCCATGGAACTGCATTTCCTTTTCAAAGAGGAAGACAGTGGAGGTTTACCAGACGAAGGAACATGGGAAGAGAAAGATGGCTGATGCATGCTATCAGTATCCCCCGTCATTGATGATAAATTAATCGTGCCAGCCCCTTCATTTCTCTCCGAAACACCCGTCTTCGCCGCCGAAACAGCGCTGTTTTTACTCTGTTGATTATTATGAGGCAAAGGAGGCAACCTATGAACTTGTGGTGTCGGACAAAATGGCTTAAAAGAGGACACCTTTACTTTGGTTTCTAATTGCTTGGGTTTCTCGTCTTGTCGAAGAGGACTAACCGGGGCGCGTCTGAACCGAGCATGGCCTGTTCTGGGACGACCCAACAAAGAAATAACCTTCTTAAAAGAATTTACAGTCTTATCTGTAACGGCTTGGATCTCAATACTTGACTCCGAATCTGAAGAAGAAGAAGAAGAAGAAGAAGAAGTTTTAAAAGAATCATCTTGATTATAAAGATGTTGAGCTTTGGATATCAATCTTATCAATTCCTCAACGCCTTGAATCCCAGCAGTTGCAGCTTCTTTCAAAGCTGTTTCCTCCACTTTCCCTGCAAAGCTATTATCCCCACCACCACCATATCCCATCACCAAATCCACCGCCATTTTTGTTCTTCCAAAGAAGAAGCTCACAATTTTGATTTTATAGGGTAATACTTGGAATCCGAGACCACTTGAAATAATGTGAAAAGACAATGAAAAAGCAAAGCCAAAAGATTCGAGTCAAAGCGATGCCTTCAAAATACAATGCATTGTGCATCGCGTCACCTGACATCTCTCGTCCTTGATATATTAGCCTCAAACTCACTGTCCAATAATCTCATTCCACGTATTCCAAATTGTCAGCACATTAACCTACATGTTTTAGAAAAAAGTAAAGGGTAAACTAGACACATAGGTCACTAAATTATTTAATTGATTGTTTTGACCACTGTCAAAAGTTATAAAATGGTTATTAAATTTATCAAACATTTACATAATGGTTATTATCATGTTATAATAATTGTAAAATTTCAATAATTGTAATTTTTTGTAATAATTTAATAAAATTTAATGATCATTTTTAAATTTTAGAACTTTTAAACGTTTAGTGACAAATGATCATTTGAGAATAAATTAGTGGCCTTTAGTATATTTTACCCCCAAAATAAAAGGGCCTAGGCAACTGTATTAACAAGTTTCGAAGACCGTGTCGAACTGATGATAAAAGGGAGAAAGCAGAAGGTCAAAAGGTGGAGATTAGCTGGTAGAGTTGACACTTAATAGCTTTTAATGCAAATGTAATTAAATAGTCATTTGTGGGACCAACGAAAAAGAGCTTCACATATTTTACCTGTAACCGGAAGCGGCATCAAAGTTATGTACCACAAATCACATGGGATTCTCTCTACAAATAATAAAACGAATAACTAACTATATATTTTTATTTCATTTTGGTCACTCATTGATTAACAGAATCGATGATGTATCATTATAAGATAACTTCATATTATCATTGAAAAAATTAAAAAAAAAGTCATGTCAACAGTTTTTTAAAGGGTAGTTTAAATGAAATTAAAACGTAACGTTAGGTATGCTTTTGAAAAAAATTTAGTTAAATGACCTAAATAGAATGATGCAAATAGTTGGTGACTAAATCAGTAGTTTACCCAGGATTTAATTAATTCAATTTAGTCACTAATGTTATAATAATTTAGGTTAAACTACCCTATGAGACATTAAATTATTGGAGCAATTTTATTTTGGCTATTAAACTATAATTTTTTCAATTAGGTCATTAAACTATTAAAACATTGTTTCAATCAAACCACTTAACATTAATTGTTAATGATATTTTTAATGTGACCCTTAAAAAATTTTGTATAATGACACATTTGGTCCTCATTATTTACATATTCTCTTAATTTAATCTTAAGTTTAATTAGAAATAATTTAATAATATTATAATAATAATATGATTTTTAAGATGGGGAAATTGATGGGGAAATGTTTTTGGAAGCTAGTCTGGGCTCAAACTGATTTAAGGTAAATTGACGAGATAATAACTATATATTTGAGGATTAAATTAATATGTTTTTTGACATAAAATTAATATATTTTATAAATATAAAATATTAAACTTATTGAATTAATTAAATTAATATTAAGTTAATAAAATATGAGCAATAAGGATTGAGATATACTAAATAAAAACGAGACACGTAATTTGTGTAACCCTACAAGCGAAATTAGTAAAAGAACATGTATATAAAATATAACTTTTAACACAAAATAGTGTCTTATCATAGCCCTTTAACTTTTATAAATCATAAAATATATAATAATTTTATAAATCATAAAATATATAATAACTTTTTATAAATCATAAAAAGGTCTGATCATGGATTTCATTCCTTCACTTTACAAAACTGAGAAGTTAACCCTTTTACTTTAATTTATCAAAATTTGATCACTGTATTTTATAAAAACTGAAAAATTAGCCCAATAGTTGATAAACAATATTACCCAATTGAACTAGCCTTTTAGTTTTCATAAAATACAAAGCTCAAATTCTAGTAAATTAAAATAGATAGACTAATTTCACAGTTTTCACAAAATAGATGGATGGAATTAAGAAATGGATAAAAATGTACTATAATTCGACTTTTTCAATAGTTTGAAGTTTATTTGTGAAACCAAAGTGAGTTATATCAAATAGTCATCATCATGCGGCCACTGGAAAAAAAAATGAAGTCAACATTGACAAAATGGGATTATAATCTAGAAAACGTGTTTTTGAATGAATATAATTTTCTACAGATTTTCCATTTTCCATGTGTGAATATCAACTAGATTAAACATATAGGGAGACCAATTACTATATCAATAATATTTTAATTGTGAGGAAAAAGTTCAAGCATGCAGCTTTGTTATTATTCATAAATTAGTAAATCGTATGATAGATAATAAAAATTTCAAAATTAAAACTATAAAAAAAAACTCAGCACGTGGTAAAAGAAATTTATTGAATTATTCAATCAATAATTTTTTAAATAAAATTAAGTTTTCATTAAATAAAAAAGAGAGGTACAATAAAATCAACATATATATTCAAAGGGTATGAAGAAAAATAAAACAAAAACTTTTTCTATAATAATACTTCATCTTCCACGAAAACTATCAATTATCAATAATTTGTCTCTATTCTAATCTATACTCAATATTAATGAAGGTGTGAAGATTAAGATAATTAATATGATAGATTGTTCTACGAAATATTTAAAATACATCAATAAATTGTCACAAAAAAGGATTTAACAATACAAGTCCATCGATCTTTCTTGATCAAGAGATGTGTCGTGATAAATAAAACACGGAGCATCAAATTATCATAATGATAGGCAAAATCATGTCATAAAAACACATACGAACAAATGTGCTATAAAAGTGAAGAAAAAAATCAAACAAATGTGCTATAAAAGTGAAGAAAAAAATCAACACTTCAATAATATGATAAAGAGAGATATTAAAATGTGATATGTTTATTTAGATCTAAATTAAAAGAAAATTAAATAAAAAGAAAATCTCTCTCTCAGTTTTCTCTCATTGGTAAGTCCTTCATCTATTTTCTTTTTGTCTTTTTTTATTGGCACCAACACCCATTTTAATGTTAGTTGTTGATTGTCGGTATTTTTTATTGTCATTTTGTTTTATCTTTTTTTTAATTTTCAATAAATCTGTCTGTATAACACATTTTTCTATGTCTTCATGGCATTTTTTTTCTTCCATTTAAAACGTTATTTGGTCGTTGTATTCGTTTATCTTTTTCTAAGGGTTGATTAGACATTGTCACGACTGATCAAGATGGTGCTTACGAGTTCGTGGATATCTTTTCACGTCGCTCGAGTCTGATTTGTGGTTTGTTGGTAGTCTTTCAGTAGCTTGATCCCCTTTTGTGGTTCATTTTTCGATGCGATTAGATATGTTTGTTTCTATCTTTATTCAAGTTTATTGGTTAAATTTAATCTTTCATTGTGTTGTACTTATTTAATATTAAGTTGTTAGTTTTGTTTCAATGATTATAATATATTGTCCTAATTATGTGTTTAATTTATGATTATGATTGTAAAATTTTATTGTAATTTAGAATTTTTCTTATTTTAAATAAAATAAGTGATTTATTTCAAAATAAAAAGAAAATGTAAGAAATAGAAAGGTGAAGGTACTTAGACTGCCGCCAACGATGACATTTTAAAAGAAAATTTAGAAAATTAATTTTTTTATAAAATTAACCAACCAATCATTTTAGAATACAAAAATTAACTGTGTTAATTATTTAAAATTTACAATATTCTTTAAAAAAATTACAATATAAAAAATAAACTTTCTGTTTGGTTCGCTATAATTGAGATAACATGAACAATTTAATCATCAATATTACGTGACACTATCATAGAAGTGATATTTATTTGTTAGGTATGATAATTTTATATTTGGATTCGTATTAAACAATTAATTTATTTTTTACGAAAAGATATATTAAATTTAATCATAAATGAATTTAACTTTTCTTTAATAGTAGTATAAAATCATCCAGATTTTTTTAAAAAAAAAATCATTTTGTTTTGTTATCACCAAACAACTTTAAAGAAAAGAAAAATGAACGATTACCTTAGCAAGTGAAGTCTTCATAATTTCCCTCAAGATTGGAGTTTAGAAAATGAGATTTGAAGAAAAAGATTTTGTTTAAATCAAACTGAGAAACAATAAAAGGAATTGAGAATTTGGGTTTTGGAAGATAAATTTAGGAATCTAATGTCCGAGTTCTTGGAAAATTAAGAGAGAAAAATGAATGAAAAAGAAAATGGAGAATGCCAATAACTACCATGAATTGACTCTAATTTTGTTTAATTGGTTTATAACAGCCTCAACTTCTATTTGTTGTTCGTTTTAGTCCTTTTCATCTCCCAACATTCTATTTTAAATAAATTCATGAATTTGTCAAACTTCTTGCACTTAAAGAGTTACACTCCTCCAGAAAGGCCAGGCCTTTTGGGTCGTTGGAGGAGAGGTTTCGTATTTTCCTCTCAAGTAAAATTTGGGAAATGAAGGAAATGATGATTTAGGGGCATTTTAGGCTTAAAATTGACTGAATTTACAAAGAGCAAAACGGCAGCATTTTGAGGGGGGAAAAGCTGCGCATTTTAATCTTTGGAAAAATAGCACAATGGGTCGCTTCTGTTTTGTAATGTTATTATTTAGCCATTAAAGTTTATATTTTTGCTATTTAACCTTATTTTGCTAGGCATGTTTAACTACTGTTTGTTTGTATTTAGGGTTGCTATGTTTCCGTGTTTGCGTCTTAATACCATTCTTTAAATTATTAGTTTTATTTAATTCGGATTTAAGATTTTGGCCGTTCACTGTTGTTGCTAATTCTATGGTTTTTTATTTTTACTTTTCTTTTTTATATATATAAAAAAAATTCCCGTATATTTGAGCTATGGTCTCCATGATTCCATTTCCTTCTTTATATTTTAACTCCCCTTGAAAAACGTGTCCAACTCACGGCCTTTGTTCTTTCTAATTTCGTTTTGTTATATTAAAAGTTTATTTAGTTTAATTGTGTTTCCTTTTTACGATTAGTTTACTTGCTATTATCATATTTTATGT